CTGCCCACACACACCAGTGTGGCTTGTTGCCCCAAACTTTGCCTCGCCGGTAAAATGACAGTCCTTTTGCCACTTCATGCCAGCCTTTACCCTAAGGGAAATACCTGCCTAGCACAACAGCACAGCCTGTGTAAAATAAACATGTTTTAGGCTGCTCCACTGTTCCCTTTCACTTTTCTCCCCTTTTCATCCCCAGATGCCAATAAAATAATCCTCTTTTTTGGATTTCCTCCCCTCTGCAACTGTTGGGTGCTCTTCCAGCTCTCAGCCCCAGGCTTAGGTTCAGTTACTTACTCAATGGGGAATAGTGTTTGTCAATTCTAATGCTTGGTGTTAAACTGTACAATTTAAAAGCAGTTATAACCTTAAGCACAATTATTTAATAGCAGCATTTAGCAGATTACAGGTTGAAAACACTATATAAACATCAGGCTGGATTTTCAGGCTATGCACTTGAAGGCAGGGCATGGAGATGGCATTGCCTTGCCATTATCTTTCCACCCATCGCCCATGTCGTTAATGGCAGCAAATAATAGCTAGAGGGGTTGCTATCATTTCCTCCATCTTGCAACAGTGTCATAGCCTGTTCCTCTGTCAGCAATTGCTGGAGGGAAGTGTTCTCTAGAAAAACCTCCACCTACTTTTGAGATGCCTTCTCACACACCTCCATGCTAAGGATACCAGGAAGGAGTGTGAGAAGTAAGCTGCATGCTCAAGACAGACTTAAAAACCTGTTCCTGGAATTTGGCTATGTCTGCAGAGGAGGCTGCTCTGCAGAACACACATCACTTGGGGATTTAATAGCCAGTGCAGAGGTCCATGATATTGCAACTTGCCTGCGCCTGCCCCCAAACAGCTTAGTTCACTGGCACGTTTGTGCTATATTGACTTCTCCATTCCCTTTCCTCAGAGAACAGAACATCTCCTGAAAAGCAAAGAGAGTTTGTGAACTGACTTTTGTTTTCAATAACTGATGAAATCTTTCCAGTATTTTTTTCAGAGGCTTTTTCACCTTTCAAACCAGGTTGGTGGGGGCTATTCTTGTTACTTAAAGTGCAAGGTTCCTGCACACTTTTCTTGTGGGAAGCTGAGGCAGAGCACGAGGCCTTATCTGCAGCCACCCTGCAGGCCTTTGACAGAAATGGATATAAAACCTCTGATCCTTAGTCTACTGCTCTTTTTGTTAGGCTGTTCTGTGTCTCACACTGTCGTATTTCCTATGATGAATGATACTCTACATTTTATGATCATTACTAGCCTATTGTTCAGGAATAGGCCATTGAGTAGCTCATTCTGTTGTATGTTTTCCATCATTGATCTTATATGGTGAAGACCTGCTGCTGTTGTGAAATGTTATAGTGATACAGGGGAACTGGCTGACTATGTACTCAGATTAATCTCCTGATTTTCGGCCACCTAATTGGTTGCCATGGCTTCTACTTTATCTTTTTGGGTCTATGCTGACTCTTTTCTGATCACTCCTATCTCCTTAACCTCTTTCACATATTGCTTGTGAAATTAAGGTCATCTAACAGTGGTCTTGTCTCTGCCATATTGTGCCATTTATTTGTGTCTGAAAGTACTTGTTTCCTTGTGACTAAATCCAACTGCTTCTTCTGCCTTTCTTCCCCTCAGCTAATATTGAATTTGCCAGAAATTTTCATGGTGGCCATCCCAATGGTAGGTCTAACAGACAAATTTCCATAGCAAAAATGTCTGGGGGTGGATCCCACAGACCTGCAGTGACAAGAACCTATGCCTATGAATTGCCAGGCACTTGATCTCAAGGTGAGCAAGTATTGCCTTTTCTATTATCTCCAGAAGGGTTTAAACCCAAAGCAGAGTATCCTAATGTTCAGACTGGCTTGGTAAAGTCTCTGCCCAGAAAAGTGCTTCCAGCAAACTGTCATGACAGAAGCACCAAACCCCCAGGAATTCTGCCATCTTTAGCTGAAGGCAAAATATGAGGGCAGCTGCTCCACCTCAGAGGGATGATGTACATCACAAGCAATCCCTTAACACAGGACTGCTGTACTTAACATTTTATCGTAGGCCTGTAAAGAAACTGTTAATCTATTTCAGCATTTGATACATTTTGTCCTCAGCTGCTGTAATCAGAAAATGTGCAAGTGGCTTATAACCATTTGTACTGTTGAGTGTTTGCTACAGCCACTGCTCTACACAGATTTGGTCCAACTAATCCTGAGAAGAGCGCTGTGGGACAGCACTGCTCACGTTTCTACGAGATAGGTAAAATTTCTAGCCCAAGCATGCAGAGGGAATATGTCAGAACAGATTAGACTGTGATCTTTCTGGGGTGTCAACCGTGCATGTGAGCTGCAGAATCCAGGAACAGGGGTTTTGAGCATCCTCCCATTACGTGGTCTGCTTTGCACCTGGTGGTTGCATAGACACCTTTGGAGACTGTGATGCTCTGTTGCTTTTACATAGAAGAGGAAAGAAAGACTAATTGTGTTCTCCTGTAGCCTGCACACTTGTA